TTTTATATGCCTCACTGCGAACTTCATCCATTCCTGGATAAAGGATTTATAATTCTGCGTAAGCGTAATAAATATCGTAAAATCTAATATCATATATCAATATTGGCCTCTTTTCGTCGACATTTACGCCTCGTGCCCTTCTCTTGCAGTGAATCATCCAGTCTAGGAAGAGGGAATGTTTTTTTTTTTGCTAACAAAACGATTCGCCCTCCATTAAAACACATTTCCCGTGGTGCATGCTTCTGTCTCTAAGATTATTGATAGGGCAACAATCATATGTCTGGGGCGGAGGACTGGGAAAGGAAGGGAAGGGTCAACACGGCCACTATCAAATGCAGAAGTTGCTAACTGCAGAAGTTGCGAGAAATTTATAATCAATGGCACAATTTTTTGGGAAGAAAAATCAAAAATCAGTCTGTCTTATACTCGTTTTGATGGTAAATTGGTACTGACAAATGCCGAAAAGTCGAAATTGCTTTCAGCTTGCTTCTAAGCATTCCTCGAAAGAAGAAAGTCAGCAGTAGCTCTACCGGGGGTGGTTGCTGTGGTGTACCACTGCTGGATTTTCCTCTGGGTGCTTCTACTTCTTATGAATTATGAGTAATTTCTGGGGGGGAATTTTTAAGCTCAGAAGATTATAGCGGAATTTTGGATCCCTGAGCGCTTGTTGAAAACCGTTGAATTGTTATTGCGACTGCAAAGGACCGATGAAATTTAAGGGGGGCAAACTTCCTTCTGAGCTTTTGGATTCAAGAAAAACGAGCCTAGGTGGTTGGTCGATGAGAGGCAGTGGTTGAGGTAAGCAGCTAGTCCAGTCAGCTAGCTCTTTGGCGCTTTTCCTCCATTATTTTTCTTGGAGCAAATCTGACGTGTTTACGTGCAGCCAGGGTTGGGCATCCGGCCCCCGCACTGGCCAAAATAGGTGGGTAATTATGTGTTGTGACGCATCGATCCTTCCCGCTCTTATTCCGTTTAGTCTTAAGGAGCACGGCGGAGGACATATTTGTGAGAATGATTATTGTTTCGATTGAGTTCACTTCTCATTCTCTCTCTCTCTCTCTGTCCAAGAACGAAAAGTGCTGCAATGTGGCCAGAAGAAAAGCCGAGGGATGATGGTGACGGGGAGTAGCAGCAGCAGCTGGTTAATCATGGGTAAAGCAGTACCCTTTTTCATAGCGATTCGGAAGTACGAATGTATGTGTTTACGTTGTTCTGCTGCATGTATGCTGCTTGGCCGCGCTCCTGGGGACATCCAGGAGCAGATGGTTTCGATAAATTAATAAATGTCAGTTTGTTGAATAATTTATTTCGGATCAGTGAGTGCACCACCATCCGTTGCATTCAATTTGGCACTCATTTTTGATGCATTTTGGCTTATTTTGCTTTCAAATACAGGCGCATTAGGTTGACACTGGGTTGGCAAGCATATGTGTGTGTGCGTGTGTGTATTTGTCTGTATATGTGTGTATGTGTTGCGAATGTATGTGTGTGCGCGTGTGTGTGCACATATATACAGCCTTGTCCATTTAATTCATTTCTGAAACCACGAAAGCAAGGAGTGGAGAATGTTTTTTGAGATAACAGTAGACAGGATGCAGTGAAGAATTGGCCAAGGTTAAATAAGTGTAAGTAGAGTTTATTACAAGAAAAAAATTTTTTTTTTGTATCCGGCACACCGCGATTAGAAAAGCCATTCCGCGACTACCGCCAGTTGGTTGTAGTGGAAGTTTTGTAAGATATATATCCCAGGACATTACTGCGGCTACACTGGAAAATCCCTATGGACAGGGGGCATGTTGCTTGTCTTGCCGTAACCAATGGACGACGTCGCGCATTGGTGAGTGGTACTAATGAGAAATGAAGAGATTGCAGGCGAACACAAAAAATTGCGTATATACATCGAACGGAGGGGAAAGGAGCTGAGGAGGGGGATAGGTACTAAGTGGAGATATGAAGCTCAGGATCGAAGGGTTTGTCGTGCTGCAACCGGCTGTGGAAGCATCCCAGTAACATCACTGACATTGGATATCCATGCTAATAGACCGGCCGACTTTGGTATTCCTGGTATGTATGGTCGTAAAAAAGTGTTTATTTTTTTGTCTAAATTGCTTAAAAATGTATTCTGGATGATGATGCTGGGTCCCACTGTTGTTTTCGTGGAATATTTGCTGGCTCGAAATAAATTGCTTGGAAAAGATGGTGATGTTGGGGAGGAGAACGTGCTGGTGCTGGTGCTGCTGCTGCTGCATCAGCTTCGTTAGAGTAATATGCACACAGTGCTCGCGACCCAACCTTCTTCCCTGTTTCTTCTACTTCATTTTCCTACCCCCTTTTTTTTGCTCGCTTTCTGGCAACTTCAGTGCTCAGTACTGCTGAAAAGCAACAGCATTCACTCGAGTGCTTCTCTGGTGCTGCCCTTTTTTTCCTTTCAAAAGTGCACAGCTGCTGCTGCTGCTTATCAGGCAGACTTTGTGGCGTATCCCAAGGGAGGGGAAAAGGCTGTGGAGAGGACATCCATCCTTTCGCGTTTTGTGATCATACAGAATCCCAAGCACAGGAGGAGGACTCACAATTGTATGCAGAAGTTGAGCCGTCGAGGTTGCCGTTTTTTTGGCTGGAAAAGGTAAATTAGTTGAGTCAAAATTGATTTATTCTGTCAAGTAGCAGTCATTTTTGATCCTTCAATTTTATGGCTTTCTCATCCGTCCCTTTTTTTTTCATAATTTGAGTTATGGAATCTTTTCTGGATCGCTAATTTACACGTGACTATGATGCTGCAGTCTTTGCCCTGCTCTTTTTTTTCGATGAAAATGTTTGGTAAAAGTCAAAACCCTCTTCGTTTTTTTTTAGAAACAGAAGAAGTTGAAATTACTACGAATTTTGGCACATCTTCACTAGCAGCTACCCACAAACAAGATTAGCATGCAATGCAGCGTCATGGTAGTTCTGAAACCCCGGCATACATGTCAATACCAACATAGCATTGAAATGAATGAACGAATCGTAGAGAGATTAGTTATCCCAGTGGCGGATTTGAATTCTCAGATCTTCAGCAAAAAAGCAAAATTACTTGATATCGAGCCAAAAAGTGGCAACAGCTTATGTGTATATGTGTGTGTGTGTTTTTTTTTAATTTACGATATTCGCTTTTACATTCAACGTTTGCCTGAAGGATTTCGTGGTACTTAGCATGGTGATAGTATTAGCTGCGCCAAAATATTCGTGTCTGTGATCTGGAGAATTAGTGTTTTAGCCTTTTTCGACGGTGATATTTATTTGGTGTTAAATGCTAGAAAGCGTAGAATTATAAAAAATTTTCAAATATTTTTGGTACAAATGTATAGAACTGTAAGTGATTGACATCCCCTTAAAAGTGCTACTTCACGTATTTTTAGAATTCGTAAAATTCTTGCCCTTGTTTATTGGAATATTGAGACTTGAAATAATATTGTTTTTGTTGGTTCATAGCTAACAGACTTGGGATAGTGGCGAGTTGCATTACTTTCATACTGAAGACGGAGGCTTTGACTCCGCCATCTGGGAAACCAGTCTATTTCTTATCTTAAGATTTAATTAACTTGGGTGGTGGGCATAGCTGATGTTTCGCTCAACAAAGCCAGACTGCAATGATTGAAAAAAACGATCGTTGATCTTTGTTTACCTGGCAAAAAAATCACTTCGTACGGCAAGAGATTATTTTGATGGTTAATGCATGTACATTATTGACATGGAAATCCAGCGCCGATTGTCCTAGCGATTTTGTTAATCGGATTATTATCATGAAAAAATGGTTTTTTTTCCCAGCCATTTTCACCACCTTAATTTTTACTGTTGTTTCGAGTGTTGCAGGATGATTCTGAAAGATTTGGAAACAGTGGACAAGCAGCTCAAAAAGGAACCAGACGAACAGAATGTTGTCATTCAGCCGCCATCTACACAGCCAGGTTTTTCATAAATATTCTCAACCGCTTCATAAGCATAATTGTACGTTCATGCATGTAAAATAGAGCGCTCCCCTTTTGCTGCATTTCAGAAATCTCCCGTTTATTTGCGTAATTTGTTAGCTTTCTCGTTACATTATTGGGCATTTTTGCGTAATCGCTGTGATTCGTAGCCTATGCAGGCTAGTTGTCGTATCCGAAATTTCGTAACCTGCAGATCAGCTTGTTATGCGTTTTGTGCTGTATAACAGCAGTACAAAACGCATATTGTCACGGGGTTGTCTGTGTG